ATGGGATAATTAAAAAATATAAGATTTAAAAATCAACTTCACTCATTGAATGATTTACTATGGCCTGGTATGTTTTACATATTGAACTTCTAAGAGTTATTTTTATTAAACATTAAATATAATATGACAATAATAAATTGATTTTCTTTTAAATATAAAAGTTTAATATTATTATTTTTAATATTAGCATGTAAACATATGTAACCGTTAATTTTGAAAATAAAATATACGTATATACAATTTATCTTAAATTGATTTTGTTATTTTTGAATTCTCTTGTGTTAGAATAATTTTTGTATAAGAATATGTATATTTGTTTTTATAAATTTGGAAAGTTTTTCCCATAAAACATAATAAATCTCTTTACTATAAATTTCAGTAAAATTATATTTCTATAAAAAAAACTCTATTGTGAGAAAAAATAATTTTAAAACATTTTTCAAATGTAAAAAGAAATTTTATAAAATATTGATTAAAATTTTTTTTGATTATTTATGGAAAGAAATATAAATTTTAGTTATAAAATTTTGGTAAAAGATTTTGTTATGATTCACATTTGTCATGTCATATTTTTTTAAGTCATATCAGAATAAATTTGATGAGAATGATTCTAATGATGACAATAAACAAATTTGAGAAAACAACTTATCAAATAATCTATAAGGGATCAAACACTAATTTATGTTACATTTATTTGTTAACACCATTTTTTTCAAACTATAAAACACACATAATGTATGATCCACCCACACATAATGTATGATCCACCACCACCCCCCTTGAAGCACCGAAATAGAGAGACTAATCTACATGGCCTACTTTTCTTCAAAACCCTAACAATGGGCTCATGACTTCATTAATGGGCCCATTTTCAGATATCCCATCAGAAAAAAGAAAAAAAAAGCAGAGACCGTTTCGGTGCATTGAAAGGGTTTGCTTTCCTTGCGGATGAAGAATCGGGTCAACCAATCTTATCTCTACATCAAAGATCAATCCCTAGATTTCAACATATATAAACCCTAGATCCCTTAATCTCTCTCTAATCACCTGAAAAACAAAAAAAAAATTCTCTCTTTCGCATCAAACCCTAGATTTCAAC